GTCAGAACCGATACCCGATATTAAAAAAATATGAACCGGATTTTGGTATAAAAATACCATTCGCTGAAAAACCACCTGGGCCGATACATCAGTGAGCAAAATTGTATTCTGCAAACTGATAGATAGTTGATTTAGAATAAATATATATTTTTTTCTGTCGTATTTAATTACTTGCTTATTTTTTAAATGCAATTTTCTTTTTCATCAAGTTAAATATTATAAATATCCTTATCGTCATCAGAATCGCACTGCAGATCGTTTTCATTTTCAGCTGTAAACTGAAGGTCCAAAAGACTTAGTACCTCTTTTTAGAAGGGTTTTTATTAATTTTTTTCTTTCTCTTTCCTTTAGAGATAAGATAATAATCCGATGAATACATAACTCTGTGAAATGCATCAGTCTTAGTATTGAGTCGACTATTTTTCCTTGAATGCACCAATCTATTTATTTTTTAAATAGCCTAAGGCTCCTAAGGGCCAAACTCGAATTATTAACCTGGTGACCATGAACCAATATTTTATGAATTGTTGGTGACATCGGATACCAAGGGTAGCTACGCATATATAATGAAAACGTAGTTTCACACAATGAGCGAAAAATTTTCCGAATTTATATAATAATTGGAAGAATTTGAGATAAAATGGCGTGAAATTTATTTAAAAGATCTTCGTTGAAGCTGGTAATAGATGCTAGTAGTTTAGTATTGTGGCAAAAGCTCTCCTAGCCGTATTACCATCATTGGTATTGCCGCTTCCATTCTGCTTGGGCCCATTTCCCATTACGTTCCTTTCAATTTTATCATCACTATATGCCATTTCTTAAATTCAATTTTATATGAAATGTTCAAATCAAATTCTAAAAACCGGATCTAGGCATGCAATTGACTTACTCCAAACTGCACAGCTTCTGGCTTTGGGACAAAAAATTCAGAATTAAAATCGGCTATTTTTAATATTTTTGTTGGAGAATCATCACAGATTGGACAACATTGAGTAGATTTAGTTCCAGTTAAAACGTTTAGCACTTTGCCATCAATAAGTGTCATATGCATTTCATACGTTACTGTATATCACGATTTTCATTAAATTTATAAACAGAAGGTTTGATGTTATTAGTTTGAGAATCTAAAAGGTTCTTTTCATCATTATGTGGGCCGTAATTTCATTTACTAATTGAATTTTTAGAGGTCTGCTAAATCTTATAGATTGCGTTTTTCTGTTATTCCATATGTTGTGATCAAAAGAGTCTATAATTTGTAGAAAATTTTTGTCACAAAAATGGAGTGATCTGAAAGCTGTACGCCAGGTATTTTGGTAGCGAACTAACTTGCTTGTATATTAAATAACCCGTTGAACCATCAAACCAATAGCTGCATAAAATCGCCTTGCATTTTAATATTTCTGTGTGTTTGTGTATGTAATGATACTTGTTCGGCTGTTTTCGCAACTTTTGTATCTCCAGGACGGCATTGTAATTTAAATTCCATTATTAGAATATAGGTTGGAAAAATATCACTGTGGCGACTTTTATTGATAAGTATATTGTTCATGTATTGCTTTTTTGTAAGAGAATTTTTCAGAAGGTAAGCCAAAGCTTCATCGGGTGTAAGTGGAAGGGGTTTTTGCATATCAAATTCTCGATTGAGTATTCGGGTGTTGTTAAGGTATTTTTTTTAAGAACAAAAGCCGTGTCCTTCTTGCTTTGTTTCTTTGCAAGGACTGCTGCAGCATGTGCAAGAAGATTTGTGTCACAATTATTTTTATTTGCGAGCTCAGCTGCCATTTCCTTTTTAATTTTATACCCGCATTCGTGTACGATAAGGTTGGACGTCCCATTTGCTGTGGTGTTTTGCCGGTTTCATCAATAGAAATTGATATTTTAGACGCCAACCATACAGTATGCTTAGACATGAACCGTTCAAGCACGTAGTTACATTTGGGAAGATATTTATGAATGTAACTATTAAAATTACTGATTTTTTTTTTGTCTATTTCTTTTATTATTTTGGCTTTCATAGTATTTTTTATTACTCCGATACACGTTGAATTTTTTGATTGTTGCTGCGCCATTTTCAAAAAGTTCGCTGTGAGTAAACTCAAACGTGCCTACATATTTCCAAAATATGAGAAAAGGGGGACGAACTGGGATGAGTTTTTGGTTTGTGGTTATAGACAAAACTCACAAGTACACGGAGAACGCATGTTACTTTTAAAAAAAATACACTAAATCTTTAGAACTACACATAAAATAATAATATACATTTAACAGTGCATAATTTAGTTGAATTTTGTGGACCAATTTAACGCGTGTGACACAGCATAAAGCAAACGTTTAAAAAACGGAATCTGATTGATGTTGACGACAAAACGGAATGAAAAAGCGAGGTTTAAGTAGTATTCATATAGTTGTCTCTGCCTCCGAGCTTCAATGAATCTGTCAATGAATGAGACTAACAATGTAATGTCATACCCGTATTAGTACGATTAAACTAAACTGAGGCGTCTTCCGACTCTGAAATTACTGATGTATTTGCCAAGCTCTTTAAAACTACCTATCGTGCGGATTCTTGTTTAAATTAATTTTACCCTTACAATTTGAAAAGGTTAAATTGTATTTTTTCCCCGGTAAAGAAAGTTCTCTTCTAAACACTAACATATTCTCCAGGACCGAACGGGCTTCCTGGGTGCGTGCTTAAGTTTTGTGCCTCAACTATTTGTAAACCGATTCATAAACTTTTTCATCACTTTTTCCAACTTTCTGGAAAGATTATTTTATTATTCCACTCAATAAAAAGGGACAAAAGTCGGATGTTCAAAATTATAGAGGTATTTATAAATTGTCTGCAATACCTCAAGCATTTGAGCGCATTACTTTTCATTTTCAACATTTGGGTCCTCACTCAACCTGGGTTTGTTAAGCGAAGAGCTACTACCACGAACTTAGTTGAATTGATATCTATGACAGCTAAGACGCTGTTTCCAATATGATTAATAAATAAAATGCAGACTGATGTTATACAAATTTTAGTATGGCTTCTAATTCTGTTAACCATTTTCTTCATTTATTCAAATTAGATCAGCTCGAGTTTCCGATTAATCTATTAACTTTGACTTCAAGTTGTTTGAGAGGAAGGTCTCAGACGGCTATTTGTGAAAACGCTGATTCCAATATTATTAACGTAACATATAGAGTGCCTCAGGGTAGTCATTCGGTTCATTTGCTCTTTACTTTATTCATCAAAGATCTTCCTTCTGGCAAACCACATTCTTTGTTCTATAATAACTTGCAATCAGGTTTTCGGCTTACAGTCTGATGTAAATTGATTTTAGAGATGGTGTCAATCTAACCTCTTAAATCTGAATTGCGCCTTCATTTATAAGCTATTCTCTTCATAATATGTCACTGGACTGTATATAAAAATTAAAATTCGACTGTCACATAAAGCCAAGTTAACAAGTTAACGGTGGTCGAAAGAATTTGACATTGACATTGATATTGATCGTAATAAGTCGGTACAAGAAAATTGATTCGTTTCGCCCTTCGTTGTTTGAACTGGGATCAAAACGTAGGGTTGCCTTCTTACTGTAGTAGATTACTATTGCTTTATTTACATACTCTTGTAAATCGTAGAGTCATGCAAATTAAATCAACGCTTAGTGAATTTAAAAAAAAAATTTTATTTTTTTATTTTTCATTTCTTATTGACTAGTTTACACAATTGTTATTAATACCGAACTTAATTTACGCTGCTCGCGATATTCAGTTTGTCGACCGTTCAATTTGGATTCAAAAACGGACTGCTTGACTTTGGTGCAATAATCAAACCTCGGCTAAAGAGATTTATCTCAAGAATCTGATTAATAGAGTCATCCAAGAGAGTCTGAAAATAGGATGATGAATTGTCAATTAAATTTTAAATTTTGCAGAACTGAAATTCTGCCGGAAATCGATGTTTACGTTAGCGGACTTGGGGCTCCCTTTTTGGGGCTCTGGTGTTTACAATATCGGCTTGGATGTTTACAGAATCCGTTTGAAGCGGAGAGTATGAAACTGATCTGGGTGGGAATCGATTGGGGGCTTTGTTTAAAGAATGGAAAAAAGCTCTTGGCTCAAAGTTGTTTATAAATTGGGCAAGGGCCCCTAAGTAAGTCATATAACTTGCATGGAACTATTTTTATGTACAATCTCGTTAAAGCCGCTTTACTATTAATGTGACCAACTACCATCCTCTTAACTTGTCAAGATGTACCTCAAATATTGGCATGAACCCTTTCGAGTTCGTTGTTATAATTATGATAATATATTTAATCAAATTTACATCTCAACATCTATCATTGTCTTAAAAACTACAGATTTAACATATTTGGACCGTACTTAGTGTTAGTTTTTTATAAATGTCTCTTTATGTTTTTTGTTTTCCTCGCGAGCTCTATAACTGCCCACTATGCGAATAGGACCCCCGGGTACAAGCTAGTGTTCGGTTTAGTTGGGCCACTTGCTTGTACTTTTTATATTATAGCAATATAGTACACGTCCCGAGCATTTCAAGTGCTTCGACCTAATTTAATTTTGGACGGGCGGGCATTTTCTTGAATAAAATTCATTTCACTTAATAAAGGAAATGAAAATTTGTTCATATCTGTTTCTTCTTTGATCTGTCACATTTAACAGAAAAAACTTGAAGTCTGTCAAACGATTAATGCGTATGGGTGGATGCGGGGGTGTGAAAACAGTCAATACAAACATTTACGGACCTTTTAGTATTTGGGTAAGATTGGTCAAACGGATCGATAGTTAGAGTTAATGCGTAGGTGTGTGCGTGGGTGGAGTGCGAAGAGGACAATGTATGGCTATAAACCATCATTGAACTAGGGCGAATCCAGCATAGGTTTCATCACATTCGGCTCGGCATTGATTTATATATATATATATAGATTGTACAAATAAAATAAATTACATTACAAAATATTAATAAAAAGTATCCTATTTTCTACTTGTAGCGAAGGAGGATTTTTCAAAGCACATCTCTACTTCCCCAAAGAATACCCGTTGCGACCGCCCCGAATGAAGTTTGTCACAGAAATTTGGCACCCAAATATCGAAAAAAATGGAGATGTCTGTATTTCCATCTTACATGAGCCCGGAGACGATAAATGGGGGTATGAAAAAGCTTCGGAACGTTGGTTACCCGTGCACACAGTGGAGACTATCTTGATATCTGTAATATCAATGCTAGCTGATCCCAATGACGAGTCTCCAGCAAACGTAGATGCGGCTAAGGAATGGAGAGAATCTTATACCGACTTCAAACGCAAAGTTGCTCGTTGTGTGAGGAAAAGTCAAGAGGAGTGCTCGTGAAGCAAATTGCCCTAAATTTGTATATTTATATTAAACATTTTATACATTAAAAGGATTAACTGAATTATGAAGAGAACTTTTTCAATTTCTTCGGCGATTTCGTGTTTTTTTTAATATGTTGCCCATTTTATGAACGGCTATATAATATTCGTTAGCATGCGATGAATGAAGAAAACTCATAGGTTTGAGTCGTAAATTATTAGAAAATAATGTAAATGGTCGGCGAAAATGTATGTTTAAGTTTTATTATAGTTTCATTTAATTTAATACATGGCTTTTTTAAAATTGGAGAAAAATTAATTGTAGAGCTAGGATGTCATATATTTTTTTTAAGTTGGATTATAAGTTATTTTTGTCCTTAAATCATACTGAAGACTGTAGATTCCAAGCCAAACCAGAGAGAATGTTATAGTCGCTTTTTTTCGACTATTAGATACCCGTTACTCAGCTAATAAATTTCAAAATAAATATTCCCCCAAAAAACAATCAGGATATATCTGCGCCTTCTGCCGAGCTGCATTGACGACACTACAATCAACGAGCGAGCAGTACCTCACTCACGCTACAGCGTGACTATCTTATGCAGAGCAGCGATAAAGCACACAGAAAGTTTCCAAAATACTCACACACTCACGCGTACATTTATTAGTATGTCTGCTTTCCGCTGCTCTTTATGGTCATATTAGGTTTCAAATATGCAGTGACGTTAAAGCAAAACATAAATTTCCAAGAACATCGCAAATTATATCTGGATTTTGAACATTTTTGTGTCTACCGATAACCTGTCTCAGAGTGACAGTACATACTTTCACAATTTGTGGGCGTTCCGTTTTGAAATTTACCTGGGCTGCGTTGGAATTACAATAATCTGCATCACAAGTCCCAAGTATCTAGCTTTTATAGCTTCCGATATCTCGACGTTCATACTGCCGGACCAGGCTAGATCGACTCGGCTATTGATCCTGTGCTTTCTTTTACCAGTTATATACTTCTCAAGGAACACTATGTTCCTTTAATCAACGAGTAACAGGTATAATTGAATTTCCATTGAATATATATTTCTTAAAGACACTAAACGAGTTGTCAAGTTGTAAAAAATCAGAGATTCCAACTTAGACTGCATATTCCACAGACATGGTCAATGGTTTAAGTTGGGTTCTTTTTGTAAGCTTTTGAAGAAGATATAGTAAAATTGGTCAGAAGCTTTCAACGCAGTAAAGGAGACATTTTCGACCCTACAAAGTATATATATTCTTGACCAGCATAACGAGGTGATATAGCCATGCCGAATCTCACTTAACAAGCGTCGCCGTCCTTTAAAAATGATCCAAAAGCATCGTGAATTTTATTTATTCTAGTAAAAACTCCGCCTACCACCAAATCTCATGAGCAGAAAGTCTTGTCAAACCCTCCATTCTGCACCAAAACTGCCCAACCCTCCCACGCTTCCACTAAATGCGCGAATATTTAATTGTGCTAATTGTTTTCAAAACATTCGGCTTTTTCCTGGCAATACCGCAAGAATAAGGAACAACGAGAAATTATCAAAATAAGAGTGCGGCGAAAGAGTGTGGTGTCGTGTGCACAGAAAGGGGCAGGAAGATTCAGAAAGAGCCGGCAACAGGAGAGATAGCGTCGGAGTGCCGGGTGCAAAAGAAAGTTGCGGGACAGCACCGGACTTCGGACCCTGATGTGGTGCCTTGCGCAGAGGGCGAAACGTCGAACGGTAAAATCGTGGACCTTCCACAATCCTTCCACAATAAACCGTGGGCTCGGAACGGAAGTTTTCAAGAACTAGTTGCCTTGCTATAAGGATCGCATTGGCGAAGTTCGGCGTACGCCTGATTGTCCTGCGAGAGTTGCACAGGTCCTGGTGCGACTAGCTGGGAATAACGCGCGTTAGATTGCCTGGTGTCTCGAAAGGCGTATGCGTTGATAGCCTAGCAGTTTAACGCTAGAGTCTTAGAACGGCAGCTGACCTAATCCCGAGAGCCAAAGACCCCATTTCGTGTAGTCCTACAGGAGAAAGGAAGGATCAGAGTCAGGATGACGAGCGTCAAGCGAGCTATCGCTTACTTCAACATCTACAAGTCCGCGGAGAAAAATCTAGGGTGGAAGTGTTCGTCTAGAACCTAGCGTTTGCCTTAGGGACTGCGTTGGCGCATGCTTGAACCGTCAGGTAAGAACTGAGCAGACGTTGGGCGCGGTCGGCCGGGACAGAGCAAGGGAAAGGAGGTTGTCCACCCAAGTCTGATAATGTTGACGCATCCCTAAGCTCTGATGCCAAGCCAATAGCACTAAAAGGAACTACGAGCACCTCGGGCGGAGTCTGCGGCAGCAAAATCAACCCGGAGCGAGGTGGTCAACGCCAGATCCACCCAGAGCATCGTTCTTCGCTTCTGGCGAAGAATCCGATAAAGTTACCCAACTCATTATAAATCAAGTCGGCAACTAAAGATCCTTTTGTATACCCCAACTTTCTGGTTGCTGGTCAGTTGGTGGGACGAACACACACATCTTCTGAGCTAGCCGCACGATATTCGTAGTTCGCAGTTCGTTACAATATAAAACAATATTCACCCAAATAGCAATCGGGGTCTAGGTGGCGCCATCTGTCGAGCTGCATTACCAACACTACAAGCTAATAGCGTGCAGCAACCCCCGATGACAATGCTTTCGTTCTGTCTCTCTACATCAGCAATCAATACGGCCCTATCTGATGAGCATAGGAAAGTGCTTTGCCGGCAGAGCAGCTGCCGAGCAGCGGCAGAGGACTTAAAAACCCATCTTAAATAATATTGAATTTGAATTTGTGTGTATACAGATAGACATGACCGAAACACACACACATCCCAATAACTATGGTGTAATATGTGTCATAGTGACATGACAGACTTTTGCGATTTTTGAGCGCTAGAGGGGGTGTCGGACCTAGCTATATTTACTCAGCTATATATATACTTTATAGCAGTGGTGCTCTAAAAACATACATTTACCAACACAATTTAAATAAACACACGCTCATAACTAACACAGTCAGTGTTTAGTCGAGGAAAAATCAAAAACAAATTGGCAATCCAAAGGCAAAGCCCAATAAAATTGACCTTGCCTTGCTTCAGTCTTATCATTAAAGAAATGGTCCGCAAGTAAGAAACGAAAAATTGCTTTAGCTTTCTAGGGTTGAAAAGGCTTCCTTCTACCTGTTACATAATTTTTTACGAATTCAATATACCATTTTACTCTACGAGTAACGATAGATTGGAACCATCTGGTTAAATTATTAGATAGTCAAGATATGTGATTTTTACTTTAAAACTCATTTATTTAAAGTTTTTGCCATGAAAGACCGATGGCATTTTTCATGAATAAGTGTAATAGAGAGCCAATTTTCTTTTACGCTGTTAGGACGTGTTAGCGAGAGGTTAGCTTAATACTTGCTATTTTTTGCAAGACACCTGCGACCAAAACCTGAACAGGTAAAACCTCAGAATTTTGTCACAAGCAGAATTCAAGGTAGATCTTTTTTCTTAAGACCCTGCACAAAAATGTTGTTGAATTAATCTAACGCCAATATCTCAAGTGACATATCCTTCATATCCTACGTGTATAAAACACATTTTTCGCATGAGGATAAGTAAAAACATTGCAGATTCATTTGGTGGCCCAGTCATAATTATTAAGTTGGAACGGACACGAGATAATGCTTCCCTTTGTCGGTGCATAGGGGAGCAAAGTAACCAAAGTTAGTCTTCAGCTACTTGGGTGAAATTCGCAAGCAGCCGTCTATGCAACTAACAAAATATAACTACAGTCGCAGAGGTAAACATCAAAGTTGGTCCGTAAAGCTGTGAAATAAGTCCCCAAAACATTTTTATTAAAAAAAGATTATATACTAATCAGCATGGCTTATAACCGTCCGCTGATCACCCTACACATAAAAGCACTTTTCCTTCTAATACAACTGGCTTCCCGAGTCTTCCCCAGATACCAGATCGTGCGAAATTAAAGCGCCTATATATGCAGAGGTGTCTCCTATACAGATTTATTCATTATTTGAAACCTTTATTTCTGCGCATTGTTAAGCTATCCAATATCGGGCAATTTTCTCGATTCAAAACGCTTTAAAATTTCCTGTAGCTTAACTTGACTTTCTTCCAGTATATTGGGCGTAACTCCCATAAAAGTTGCTCCAGGTGGAGGTACGTTCTTCTTGCTAGGCTGCACCATTCTTTAAAGTGCTCAGTTCTTCACTATTCTGATGTAATTGAAATGTTGTTTCAGGGTGCTTAAGAAAAGGGGGCTAGTCCTGTTTCTATTGTTTTTGCGTAATTTGGAGTATTTGACGGGAGCATAAATATTCTTTTTAAAAAAAAAGTAAGCAACTTCTTTACTTCCTCATAACTTGTGTGTCCCCAACTTCGGCCGAATTACACATTATGGCTTAGACTATACTTAATGCTGCTCTTGACTTCTTGCTTTTGTTCACCTTATTAATGAAAAAAACCACTAAGGAAATGCCGGCTTTAATTTCATCATGGCTTTTAACGATCAAAACTTGCTCTTTTCTACATTCAGTGTTAATCCAGCAGAGCGAATGCGACTAGCCACAGAACTTAAGACTTTTAGATGACTATCAAAACTATCGGATACAATGAGCAAATCGTCGTCCTCAGCTCAGCTGGTATTACCCTATCCATCAACCTAGTCATTGTCTGCGAGTCATTCGAAAGCCCGAACAGCATTACTTTATATTGGTATAATGACTTACCCGGAATTGTAAATGCCGTTTTGTCGCGCGACTGATGATCTAAAGGAATTTGCCAATAGGCATCTTAAAGATGGAAATGAAATTGGCTTTGGAAAGACGACTAAGAATCCCATCAATCTGGGGCAAAGGATCAGCATCTATTTTCGTCACGGCAATTACCTTTCGGTTATCCAAACAAAAACGCACTTTTCCTGGCTTTGAACTAAAACAACTGGCGAAGACCAGTGACTTTCTGACTCTTCAATAACTCCAAGCTTGAGCATGCGGTCGACTTCTGCGTAAAGCATCTTTTCCAACGCTTTCGAAATCCTGGCTCAGTGAAGGGATGATTTATGCTGTGTTTGGTAAGAAGCGTTCTCGGTGAGTGCTTGGTACAGACTGACTTTATTCAGAGATCAGCGAGAGAATGAACAAAAGTAACGTGTGTGTGTACATGTGTGTGCTTATAGAACGAAGGAATACAGATTAGTTTTGGATGTGTGAGGTAGCGAGAATACATTTTGCTTATTCTTTACACATCTCCTCCTTTAATTAAGAACTATTTATATGCTTAGATTTTCTGAAGTCCTTGGGCTTAAAACGATCGACTTCCTGGCGAACACGACTGCCTTGGCGTACTGGTATGCCTGAAAGACTTCGTGTAGATTGTTTCTGCCTTGGCTGCTGGTAGGCTTTGCTGCGCGTTCAGGAGGACGAGAAACAGAAACAGGATCAGGTTGCTGGACAACTGGCAAAGTTGGCGGTCGATCTTGTTGCTGTATTTCTTGATTGAAGGATGGCTTTGGCAGTTCAGGAATCCACCAAAACTCTGGAGGTCTCTTGAGTGAGTTGTTTGCTGACAAATTCGGTTTCAGCTGGTTGAAATGGCGCTTGATGTAACCATTTGACGTGCGAACAATGAGCAGCATTTTTTCAACTGGACGGTCGGTAATGCCTTCAATCCACTTTTCTCCCCTTGAATAGTTTCGAGCGTATACCATTTGATTAGAGATGTACTTGGTGATTGTCTGTTTATCTTCGACAGGCTGCTCGAAAAGTTGACTAAGCACGGTGCGGACTGGTCGACCGTGGATAAACTCGGCAGGAGTTTTACCTTGGGCGTTTCGAGTGAACCTGTAAGAAGAAAGATATTTTGTTACAGCTACCCTAAGTGGTATACCGTCTTTGAGGTTCTTCTTGACTGCAAATTTAAATGTCTGTACAAATCGCTCTGCTAATCCGTTGGATGCTGGATGAAGCGGTGCTGTGGTAATATGCTTAATACCGTGCAGTTTGCAGAATTCTTCGAAGGCGTCAGCTGTAAGCTGAGGACTGTTGTCGCTTGCCATGGTTTTCGGGTATCCTTCGATGGCGAAAATCGAAAACAGTGCAGCGCTCGTGTTGGCGGTTTTTGTAGACCACATTTGGATGACAAATGGGAACTGATGACTGAAATATGAGCCACATAGTGTCAAAGATTGGACGAAGTCGATTTGAATTCGCTCCCATGCTGTTGTTGCTGCTGGCCAACTTTGGTACTCTCTTGGTGGTGCAGGATTCTTGCACTTGCAGATGCTACAAGACTGAGCAAGGCTTTTGATGTCATCATCTATGCAAGGCCACCAAACATTTTGTCTTGCCACATGCTTAATTCGGATAATGCCCCAATGGCCTTCATGTAAGAGATTTAGGATATGGGCACGTAGACTGTAGGCAAAGCAATTGTTTGTTAATTGTAAGAGCAAACTTCCGGTTGCCTGCCTGGAGTTTTTCTGACCATCCTACAGATACGTACTGAAGGACCGTTTCAGAACTTTGTCTTTGTCCATGTGGTTGCGAATGAGCTCGGAATTTATCGGTGGTGATACTTCGACTACATTGTGGCAAGCTTCCTCTTCTTTGTCGAAGTCTGGATCTGTACCCACTGGAAGGCGTGAAAGAGCATCTGCATTACCATGAGCAGATGTGGATCGATATTGGATTTCGAAATTGTAGGCCATGAGAATAATAGCCCAACGTTGTAGCCTGTTTGACGTCATCAACGGGATATGCTTGCCTGGATTAAAAATGGTAACAAGCGGCTTGTGGTCTGTGATTAGGATAAACTTTCTGCCATAAAGGTATTGGTGAAAACGCTTTACTCCAAATATTATGGAAAGTCCTTCCTTTTCGATTTGGCTGTATTTAACCTGATGCTTGTCGAGCGTTTTAGATGCGAAAACAATGGGTCTCTCTCCGCCATCTGGCTGAAGATGCGAAAGGACTACCCCGATGCCAAAGGATGAGGCATCTGTAGCGAGCACTAGCGGTAATTTTTCATCAAATTGAGCTAGCTGCGTTGCGTTAATGACGTGGAGCTGTAAAAGCCTGCTGCTGTTGTGGACCAAAAGAGAAGGCTACGTCTTTTCTGCGAAGTTGATTCAATGGAGCAGCCAACTGAGAATAGTTCGGAATAAAATTACAATAATAATTAACTTTACCCATGAATGCTTCCAATTGTTGTAAGTTAGAAGGCGGACACAACAGTTTTACAGCCTCCAAGCCTGAGCTGTCTGGGAGAATGTCGTTTGCGCTGATTCTTCGCCCTAAGTATTCTTTTTCGTCCTTGAAAAATAAGCATTTTTGCCTTTTGCATCTGATGCCGTTCACTTGAATAGTGCTGAGAACTCGGTCGATTCGGTTCAGATGTTTTTCGCTTGTAGGTACTGAGATGATGATGTCATCTAAACAGTTGCCACAACCTTCTATTCCTTTTAAAAGTTGATCGAGGTATCTTTGGAAGATGGCTGGTGCGCTTGCAATCCCGTAAGGAAGACGCTGGTATTGAAATCGGCCCAGTGGTGTGTTTACCACCATGATTTCCTTTGAAGCCTCATCTAATTCCATCTGGAGATAGGCATCCTTGAGGTCTATCTTGCTGAACTACTTACCATGACGAATGATGTGAAATAGAGCTTCTTTTGTTGGTAACGGATACTGTTCGTCGATTTGTGCGTTGACTGTCTGTTTAAAATCGCCACAAATACGAATATCGCCACCTGACTTAGGAGCGAGAGTTACCGCTGATGTCTTCCCGATGACATCACCTCCACCCAAACCCCCTCGGGCATTGTCCCACTAACGGCGATGCCGTTCAACCCGGACATAGGATCGCCAACGCAGCGGTTTCTGGATGCCGGATCGTGTAAACAACTGGGTCTCGGGCATCCGGCCGAAACCGCTGACCTAGGAGATTTCGCAAACTCAACATATGTACCCCACCCGCAAACGAAGCACTCATTGTACTTGAAACCAGAAATAAAAATCAGTCTTAGAGTGACACTTGGAAGTATAAGTCTTTCATTCCCGAAACCTCCTAACTCGACAGCCTACACCAGCCAGATCCGACCTCTAATTGCACCAGCCAGATCCGACCTCTAATCTACACCAGCCAGATCCGGCCTTCGACTATAATTGGCGCAGCCGGTTTTTAAAAGAACCAATGATGAAATTCAGCGAGATCATCATAGTAGTTACTATGTAATAATTCGGGTAAGCCAAGGGGCAAAGTAAAATAAGATATACCAGTGGAAATGAAAGTGCAAACATTTTTGTGTGCCCACAAAGAAATGTGGATAATAAAGGAAATATATATATTTGAACAAAATTTTTCTCAACGATCTGAGTCAACGAGTTAGTGACGGTTAACAAAAATTTATAACAAATACCCATTTGGTGTTTATCAATTGTTGACCAGCACAGTATACACTGTACATTAAATGTGGTTATCTCAATCTATCTAAATGTGGCCATCTAAATCAAACTATGTATCTATACGATTTGTGACCATCAATCGCTGATCGGCACAAAATGCATCGCGCATTGTTATAGATATATAAAACGACATGTTAAAAGAAAAAATATATATAAATAAAATTTTATACACGACAAATTTTTATTATATAACTATACCAATTGTGACCATCAATCGCTGATCGGCACAAAATGCATCGCGCATTATTATAGATATATAAAACGACATGTTTAAAAGAAGTGTAAATAGAGATTTTTATACACAATTTTATTATATATCTATATCAATTGTGACCATCAATCGCTGATCGGCACAATATGCATCGCGCATTATTATAGATATATGAAACGATATGCTTAAAAGAAATATAAAAAAAAAAAAATTGTATACACATTTTTATTATATATCTATATCAATTGTGACCATCAATCGCTGATCGGCACAAAATGCATCGCGCATTATTATAGATATATAAAACGACATGCTTAAAATAAATATAAATAAAGATTTTTATACACATTTTTATTATATATCTGTATCAATTGTGACCATCAATTGCTGATCGGCACAAAATGCATCGCGCATTTCTACAGATATGTACAACCTAAAATACTCCAAGTAAAACGTACACTGAAAATTTGATTTCCACACCCACATCATCAAAAGATAATAAAAAAAAATAAACAGCTAAAATGCTGCAGAAAAGAATACAAACTCGTCGATGAAATCGTTGAATTGGAAAAAAAGCCCTAAACTATTTACATTGTTACCTCATTAGAGGTAGACAGCAACCTTTCTGTTTCCGGGGGACTTTACACAGCCTCAGACGGCCATAGCTTCTTCGAAATAACTAACAATTCCGGTACTGGACAGATCCTATGCCTCGACCAACCATTGAAGGTACTACCATATAACAAAGAATGTTACGACCAAATAAACGGGGTAACACTCAACCCAAGCTACCAACAAATAAGGGGCAATCTTAGCGAACAAATTTTAATGGACCATCTAACGGACGAGGAAAAACAAGGGCAGGTTAAAATTTGCAAAAAATTTCAAGATCTTTTCTATGATGACGCGACACCTCTCACATTTTCCAACACGGTCAAGCACCCTATCCCGACCACCGACAACATACTAATACATGTCAAAACGTACAGATATCCATATAAACATAAGGAGGAGGTCCGAAAACAAATATCCAAAATGCTTGAACAAAATATTATAAAAAACAGCCACTCCCCTTGGGGTGCCCCCGTGTGGGTAGTTCCAAAAAAATCTGACTCCCCCGAACAAAAGAAGTGGAGATTGGTAATAGATTTCAGGAAACTGAACGAAAAAATTGTATACACATTTTTATTATATATCTATATCAATTGTGACCATCAATTGCTGATCGGCACAAAATGCATCGCGCATTTCTACAGATATGTACAACCTAAAATACTCCAAGTAAAACGTACACTGAAAATTTGATTTCCACACCCACATCATCAAAAGATAATAAAAAAAAAATAAACAGCTAAAATGCTGCAGAAAAGAATACAAACTCGTCGATGAAATCGTTGAAAGGGAAAAAAAGCCCTAAACTACTTACATTGTTGGCATTTCAACTATAATTTAAGAGTAAAATCAAATAACAATTTGCAAAAGAAGCACACAGTAATCTTAGTAATCATTGCCTCACCAACGGATTGAATAATTACTTTGCCCCATGGTCACCACAGAAAAAAAAGTACACACACACACACTAATTATGTCAGTTTTACAGATTCTCAGCGTAATACAACGACACAAATTTCCGTAACTATTAGCATAGACTAAGCCATACACCCGTATATATATTTACACGTAAAATTACCTATATACAAGAAAAAATATATATATTTATTTTTTTAATTACACATACGACATTTACACAAACGTTTTCTTATTAAGTTAGCTACACGAGAAAATATAGGTAATACGATTTTTTTTTTCCTTTTCCACACAATTTATAATTTTACACCTCTCCTTTTAAAGCACATAATATCTACCAAAACATATAATTCCAAAATTCACATATATATCTCCTAAATCTTTAATTACGCAAATACGTAGTTTCCCCACCTAATGTCAAGGAAAACAATAGTAGAGAAAACTAGAACTAGACTAGGTCTCAGGAATAGTACTAGCCTACCCAATATTAGGGAAGAAGAAATTATAATCATGGATTCGGGAAACGCATCGGGCTCTAGGACCACTAGCCCCACTGATAGTGCCATTAACAATATAGGAAATGCTAGTACCATTCTAAACACTTCGTCAGCCACAACCCTAAATACCACTCTTAACCCAACCGATATATTAGCCTTCGTCAAACAATTGCCTACTTTCGAAGGGACCCCAGGTACCCTCCAGAAATTTATTGTAAGCGTTGAGGAAATTATTATGCTAATAAGGGGAACGGACCAGACCCCGTACGGACAATTACTACTAAGAACCTTGAGAAACAAAATTATAGGAAAAGCGGACGAGACCCTGAATATCTTGGACACCAAGTTAGAATGGGACAGT